CACATTAGCATGAATCTTATAATTGCATATCCTTTAATAAAAGGATTGCCAACAAGGATATTTAATGAACATGTCAAAAGAAAGGGCATTACTAGATAGCATTGATTAAATAAGGCCATTATTTTATGTATTTGACACTCTAAGCTCATTCAAATTTTTTTTTTATATATATTTAAACATCCTATTATTTATTTTTGGTATATATACATAAATGAATGATATCAATACTAACAAGTTATCTTTGACAAAGATATAATTGTTGGACCATTATAGCATATTTCATTACAGATCATGTTAAGTTTTGAACTAATATCGTCATACATAGGAGGAAGAATATTGAATCGGTGACATGCAACTACTAGGATCTTTATTAGTTTCTTTTTACTTAATCATGATTAATGTTATGACCAATGTAGAAAAGAGTTTAGCTTTTATTGTGCATATTACGTTTTGTTGGATTACTCCCATGGGCTAAGGGGAGAATGTTAGATTTTTTTTTTAAATGGCCCATGTTTTTAATGGTTTAATAAATTAAGTGCTAAAATTATATTCGTTATTTGAGGAGATATAAATAAAAAGTTACATTAATGGAGCATTAAAAAATCTTTTGGATTATAGAGCATTAAATTAAGATGACTTTTAAACAAGATCCTCTCTTCACCTTACACATAGACAATTTATTTTCATCAATAAAAATGCATGTATGGTAAAAAACTTAAGAAGACCAAGAGAGAGAAATATAGTTTTCTAAATGATTTTCTTGTCATTGATAGTTTCTTAAAGGATTTTCTAGTTATTTGATAGTTTTTTAATTTTTTTTTTATGATTATAGTACTTTAATGAAATTTATTGTAATTGATCAATCTCTTCGACTTCATCATGAATTAAGATATGTTATTTTCTAAATTATTTGGAATGTAAAAAAATATAAAGTTTTAAGATCTTGGGTAATAAAGTTTATGCAAGATTAAAATTTGATTTGCATAATTATAGAAAAAAAAAGGGTTGAATTGGATTTTTGTCGATTTAATGGCAAAATTTGCCCCCATTCTATTACATATTGACAATTTTTTATCTATAGTATCAAATCATATAATTTGAACCGTAAAGTATTAAGGATTGAAGAAAATGTGATCCAAATTACCTAATCTCCATTATGTGTAAAGATCAATTAGATTGACTATTACAAGTCGTTTTGACTTTTTGTCGTTAATTATGTTTGCTAAAACAAAAAAAAAAAAAAAAAAAAAAATTAATCCTCTAATCTTGAACTTTCTTTTTATTTTTTTTATAAAATATTATAAATTTTTTATTAATTATATATCAAAAAATATTTTATAAATATTTTTAACCACCTTTAATTTTGAACTTTTTTTTAAATCAAATATTATATATATATATAATCGTATAATTTATAAAATAAGGGATTCAACCCTTAATTATGCTTATTTTGATTTACAATTTTTATTTTTAAGTCCTAAAATTACGTATGTTTAATTATGTTTGTATAAAATCATTTTTTACAAAAAAAAAAAAAGCTTTTAAAAAAAAATTATGGGGGCTAAAAATTTTTATAAAATATATTTTTTATATAATTTATAAAATGTTTATAATATTTTATGTGATTTTTTTTTAATAAAAATTTCAAGGTTAGGGGCTTTAAAATATCTTTAACTATTTTTTTCTAAAAAAAAATATTAACATCAAAATTTGAAAACAATGTTGGTTTGTCATTCTAAGCAACAATTAATGTAGTTAACCGTTACACATAACAAAGGTTGGACAATTTAGATCAGATTTACCTAATCTCTAATACTTTGAGTTCAAGTCATGTAATTTGATGTCATGGGTTTGAAATTTCCGAATCATAATAGAATAGAGTAAAATTTTCCATTAAATCAATTTTTGTCAAATAGGACGGCTTACATTACAATTGTTTTTAAGAAACACAGTAAATTATAACTTATTCCATGTTGGTGGATTGAATAAAAATTTGGCTCCTTAATTTTGATTTTTGATTAATACTTAAGAACTTATTGCACATAGTTCGAGGAAAGCATTTCATTTAAAGATGAAATGATAGTTCTCTTTAGATCTTAGTAATAACGAAAGGAATTAAAATTCTTTGTAAGAGAAAACTATTGGATAGTTACTATTTGTAACTAAATTAGTAGGCTAAAATTAAGGAATTGAGGCTAACAACAATTAACTTCCTAATTAAACATTATTACATATTTATGATATTAAATGAGGAGTTATTAATTAAATAAATCTAATCCATCGATTTAAGAAATAATTGACATTTGATGGATGCATCAAATTCAAAGATAGGGTCAAATATATCTAGTCTTCTCTCTGCTCACAAAAGTACGCATGACTAAAATCAATCATACATAGCATGTTTAGAAGGAACCAAGAGAAAAAGAGAGAAACTAATTTTTTACACATAATCGATAACCGTTGAGATTTTCCTACTATGGCTTCTTCTTCATCTAAACTAGGCATATGAAAATCATATGTTTTGAGATCTCTATTCATGAATTTGAAGATAATAATCTTCCATTTATATGTGTTATCAAAGCATGGTTAAGAAATTTGTCATTTTACATCTAGAATTAGAAATTATTAAAGTCAATTAGAGTTGCCATTAATGATTTATAATGATGCTATGTGTTAGTACCCAATTTCTCAACTCTATTTTTTTTTTTTAATTCTTGAAAAAAAAATCAAATATGAAAAAAGTAGAGAAAAAAATCAATTAAAATAAATGGCTTAAATTAGTTTTAGGGGGTTTAATTAAAAGAAATAGAAAGTTTGGGAACCAAAAGAAGCCCAATGGAGGGTACAATTAAAAAGCCCAAAACGCCAAACTCTTAATTATAAGAAAGGAAAGTTATAATTAGAAGAAATTGATGAGTGCATAATTTGCATAACTTTTATGTTCTTTTATATCAAACTTTTTCATATTATTTTATGTTTAGGAAATTAAGATCAAGATAATGATTTCAAGTTTTGTAATAAAAATGGTGAATTGAAGGAAAGAAACCTAAGTCAAAACAAGGAAAAGCCAAAGTCACTAAGGAAGCCTAAAGAGACACACAATCATGTAAATTACAAGAAGAAATATCCACTAGCCATGTGCAATAAAAGAGGAAGTTGTGTGGTTGTTCAACAACAAAACCACATTAGCAATAGCATTCCTCACTACGGGAGCAAAAAAGTAACATAGCCGTACGTGTGTCAAGGCTAAGATATCTCCAAGAGGAAAGATACAACACATGGGCATAAGCATTTCACACGACATGCACTAAGAAAGAGACATGCTTGTGAGTGTCAAAGCTAGAAGAAATCCAAAGAATGAAGCAACTAAAGGAGATGAGTAGAAGGTAGTGACATGAGATGATGTGAAAATTCTACACAGTGCGAAGCCAAGGACATGAGATGGAGTGTAAAAGGTATGCGACCATGTGCCTCTCGTTTAGTAAATAGTATAACACCAACTCTCTAAGGTTCAAAACTGTGTGAGATTAAGCATCAATCCATTTGAATTTACCAAACAATCCAAGTGGTTATGTGGGACCGATATGTGTGTGTTATAACCCTATTTTTAGCTATAAATAGTGAGGCTAGGATTTTATTTGAAACAATCTCTTGTTAGCACCACCCTTAGATAGAAAATTCTTTTATAATCAGCCATGAGTCACTAAACATCTATTTTGGTTAAAGGAAAATTGATGCTTTTCATAAAATTATTGTGAGATCTTAATGGGTTATAATTCTAAACTTGTTATTTTGAGTATTTTATGTTTTTCTATGTTATTTGGTTATGATTGTGTGATCAATTGATTAAAACATACTAGTTAGTTGATTATCATAACCTATTACTAGCTAAGCATTCAAGTCCATGTAATTGCTTGTCTAAACTTGCATGTGGTAGTAGTTAGGGTTAATGATTATAAATGCATTTTTGTTTAATCCTTTAGAAAAAATAGAACTAGATGACATCCTTTTAGCCTTTAGAAGGGTGGTTTTGCTTCACCTATCTTTCTCTAATTTAATGTTGTTATTTGATTAAATCTAATTAGTATCACTAGGTTATTCAATAGTTAGGGATTAATTAAATAATGTCTATTTGGTTAACGAATTAGTAAGGAAAGATTGGGGACAATATACATGTTGTCCTACGGTGAATATTCGTGTTAAGAATAAGCCAATGTTTGAATCAATGATCGGTAATTAAACCAAAAGTGGTTACCAAACTTCAGCCAAGGTTTTCCTCATTATTGTTGTTTCTATTTACTTTTGATTGCTTATAGATCTTCATAAACATAACCCCCTTTTAGTTCCATTGCACCTTAGAATAATCATATAGAAACCACTAATTAGGCCATTCTTCCTATGGGTTCGACCCTTCCTTGCCCTATTTACCCTCTAAGTGGTTGGGTTCCGTAAGGAAAATAAATACATCTAATATGTTAATGGTACAACATGCCATCAGAAATTTAAAAGAAAAAGTCTTGATTAATTGCAATTTAGGGATGCTATTAAAGTTCAAACAATCAAAATTGCACTTAAATTGATAAATTAAGAGAAATCAAGGACTAAAATTAACCTTTACCTAAAAAGCCTTAATTTTCATCGATAAATACCCATCTCTTTCTCTATCTCTCCATACCCACTATTCATCTTATTCCTAAAATTTTTACAACCACCATCTCTTTTATCTAGCTTAATTTTTAAGCCTCCTTCATCACCTAAATCACTCTCCCTCACCTCCTAAACACCACCTCTCCTTCACCATCCAAACTACCATCATCTATTAGAGCCATTATTTATCATCTCTCCCAAAACTTAGTAGCCACTATTCATCCTTCATTATAGCCAAAACTTAGTGCTCTTACATAAGTCTCCTTTTTCTCTCTCTCTTGGTCAAGCCAACACACTTTCACTATCACTTGGTTGAACCAACACCTCTAACCAGCTCTAACACTACAAAGTTTCTAGTCGAGAGCTCCACCTCCACCAATTTTATCCATATCCTCCATATCTTCTTCCCTTTTGATTGTAATAACAACAACATAGCCCTTGTCTATTATTTAGCCAACATTACAGACTCCTTCTCCAAATGAGCAAGTCTGAATAAGCTCCTTCTTCATATAAGTAAAACCTCCTCCACAACACCAATATAACCCATATCCATTTCTTAGCTAAGAGTTTCAGCCTATCTTCTTCCACCCAAGCACGATAACTAGCTATCCTCCTTTTAGCCAAAACTACCCTCTTAATTGAAGCTGAAACCTTGCTCTCTATTTCAAACAAAACTACCATCCTTTCCTCTATTTTTGGGGATGAAAGTTATAGACACAAACCACCATTTTCCTCCCTCTTTGACCAAAAAACAACATCATCCACCATTCATTATCTTCTCCACCTTTCACTTTAGCCAAGACTTGCAATAACAAGTCGAGGTAGCTCGGCCATTTATTCTTTTTTTGACCAATAGTACACCCATAAGAACACCTTGCAACCATCTTCTTCTCTTTTGACCAAGCACCTAACTAAAATACCTAACAAAATTAAAACTTAAATATTAAGCAGAATCAAACTAAAAAAAATATAGAATATGTATTATTTTGTTGTTAACAATAAGAAGAACTTGGGTTAATTTTTTGATAGAACAAAACATATTAACAAAAAAACTAATGTTAGTTGATTTTTGAGTTTGGTAGAAATAATATAATGTTATAGATTGGATTCTATATAGCGTTTCGTTTTTTGGCAAGTCTTCTAGCCCTAGTTTGCACCATCCATAGCAAACCACTATTTCACCAAGTAACTTATATTGGTAGCCACCATAGGAATAACCTACACCAGTAACCACTTAAGCCCACACCAACAATCACTCAAGCCTATGCTAGTAGCCTTTCTAGCCCATGCCAACAAGCTAATAGCTCGCACTAGTGCCAATAAGCTAATAGCTCGCACCAACAAGTAAGAACTAACTTTAGCTACTAGTAGCAGCTTTAACTTGCATAGCATTTAATATAACCTTCGACCACCAAAGTGGTAGCCAATCTAGTAAGACTCAAATAACTTTTTGACAATGAAAAACTACTTTCTTTCTTTGATAAACTGAACAATTAGTTCTCATAGAGAATGAAAAAAATGGAACCGATCCTAAAAAGACCCTTGCATGATTTAGAACCTTTCAAAACATTTTACGTAAAATTTTGAAATAATTGTATGCCTTTAAATTATGGATGAAAACTAGTACATTTTACTTATAGTTTTCTTATTTCTAAATAAATAAGATGAATATTGCTTTGATTGTAATTATTGATAAAATTTGAAGTGTGAATAGATACACTATCGTGTATCGAACCCAAAAAGGGTCGGAGACCCTAGGTATCTTGAGATGAAATAAGATAGATTGATTAATGATCTAGGATGGAGCTGAGAGGATGAGTTTGAAATTTAATTTTATTAATGGATCTAGGACAAATACTAGTCCCTATGTTTGCATTTAATTGTGATGTTTGTGCTTGCATTGCAATGTGATTGATTTGGAATGTTTGGTTATGATGTGACAAAATATGTTATTTTCATATCCAAGGTATGCTATCTAATTTCTTTACTTAATTAAAAGCTATCCAATTACCTTCTATTTGATTAAAATGAAGATGTTAATGGCTTTTCATCATGTGGTTGAAGCCACTTTTGGCTTCCAAATTAGTTTACCTATTTTCTCGCTCGCTTAAAACGAAGTTGTCCGTAGCTTTTACATTAGTTTACCTATTTTTTGTTTGATTGAAATAAAGTTACTCGGTGGCTTTCCAACTACATGATCAAAGCTACTTATGGCTTCTAAATAAGTTGACCTAGTTTCTAGTTGATTAAAATGAAGCTTACGATGGTTTCCCACCTATGTAATCGAAGCTTCCAATGGTTTTTAAATCATTTTACTCGTTTTCTATTCAATTAAAATAAAGGTATCGATGGTTTTCCACTTATATGGTTAAAGCTATTAGTGGTTATCAAATCATTTTACCTATTTTTTGTTCAATTGAAATGAAGTTGTTAATGGCTTCCCACCTATATGTTTGAAGTTGTTAATGGCTTTCAAATTATTTTACCTATTCTCTATTTGATTGAAATAAAGCTGCCGATGGCTTTCCATCTATATGGTCAAAGTTTCTTATGGCTTCTAATCTAGTTTACCTATTTTCTATTCGATTAAAATGAAGTTACCGAGTGACTTCTTATCTATGTGATCAAAGCTACATATGACTTCCAAACCAGCTTTATTTGTTTTTTATTTGCTTGAAATTTAGTTGTTGGTAGCTTTCCACCTATGTGGTCGAAGTTACTTGTGGCTTCCAAACTAGTTTACCTATTTTTTATTCATTTCAAACAAGGTTACCAATTAATTCTTACCTATGTGGTCAAAGCCGTATGTGGCTTTCAAATTAATTTACTTGCTTTCTATTCATTTAAAATGAAGCACTAGTGGCTTCCCATCTCTGTGGAACAAATTAATAGTGGCTTCCAAACTAGTTATATTCTTCTTACTCAAGTGAAATAAAGTTATTGGTGGCTTCCTACTTATGTGATGAAGTTGTCGATAGCTTTCTAAACTCATGATCTAAATTCGATGATGGCTTCCCACTTATATGAGCAAAGTTGTCAATGAGGTCTTATTTAAGTCAATATAAGCTATCAGCTTTTAGAAACTTAGTTATTTATTAGTATAGGCTTGTATTCACTAAAGATTAGTCAAAATTTTAATCTTCCCTCACATTTTCCCTTTTGAGTATAGGTATTGGCCTCGGATCGGCCTAATGATATGAGTATTTTTAATGTGTCTTTAAGTGTGTTTTTATGATAGTAATTATGCCTAGGAGTTACTTTATGTTTTAATGATCCTTAGAATGTTTAATTTTAGTTTTAAATGTTAAAGAAGTGGGTTAGACCGCTACTCTCTGTCTTTATGGTGATTATTGCAGGTTGAGGATGTTTTGGATCACAAAAAGTGTACTACCTTCATAATGCATGACCATGCAAGCATTGCACGGTCACAACAGGGAGCGATTAGAATTGGTGAATGCATGATTGAGTAACCTTGCACAACCGTAACCATGATGTTATGGCAGGACAACCAAGAGTCATTCTTTTGAGAAATTGGAAGAATATAAAAGACCATAAGACTAAGGGGAGAGGACATGGTTTTTGGGAGAGAAAAAAAGGATCAAAAGAAAACAAGAAAGTAAGAAAAGAAGAAAGGGAGCCCAAAAATCAAGGAGGAAGATTAGAAGAATTTTATAGCAATATTCAAGAGTTCTTTCTTCCTTCACCTTTCGTTCTTGTTTTATGACTTGATTTATTTTTAGTGTGCTATTTTCAATCATGATGATGGATTGCTAAATTTTTATTAGGGATTAACTCTTAAAACACTCCTTTGATGTTAATCTTTTAGGTTTAATTTTAGCTTTATGATGTTTATTATTCTTAATGCTCTAATTGTAATTGAGAAATTTAATTAAATGATTTATGTTATGTTTCAATGAGAATTGTTGCATAATAGATCGGTAAGCATCGGGTTAATTGATAATTATGGAGAGATCGTGATTGTTGATTAATTGCTTGAAAGATTGCTTAAGGAATTGATTGAAGCGATTTGGGTTTGGGGTTATTAGTTGAGAAACTATAATTTTGCTCATGCTTCTTCAAGTCGATAGTTATGTTATTGCTTGAGAGAGAATAACTAACACCATTGGATATCTAGAGTCTTAGTTGTATTGAACCCATTAGAAAGACTAATAGGGGATTTGGATAGTGTTAATTCCTAGCCTATTAAGACTTGATTAATTTCTTTAAATAATTTCAATTCTTGTTTCCACCATTGAATTCTTATTTAATTTATACATATCACATTTATCTTATTAATCTTAAACAAATCGAAGCTAAGTCAATTGGTGGATAAAACATAATCCTCATAGGAACAATATTTTTTTATACTACTTAAGCGATCCATGCTCTTGCCGAACTAACACCTAAACCTTAAATTACTCTACTATTCTATCCTAAAAAAATAAATTTACTCAAATAAACATATAAATATAGCATAACATAAACCACATTTGTTAGTTTTGCATATACTCAATGCAACTCTATCTTAGATCGGACGAGATGATGATAATGTTATATCTTTCTTATACATAACCGATTTCTTAACCAAATATTTATACAAACCAGTTTGTTTAACGCTTTCTAGTTCTTCTTGATTAGTTAGGTGGTAACTCTTTACCCACTCTACTCTACTGGGCCCTATCAATAGAATGGCAACCTCGTTGGAGAGATCCCATGCTAGGGTCAAGCTTTGAATGTAGGTGTAAAATTATCTCTCGGTTATATGATTATTTTTTGGAGCCTACATGTTTTGAGTGAATGATTTACCATTTAATTACTTTTATTATTTACAAGTGTTATGAAAATGTGTCTATATATATGTGTGTTATTTATGTTATTTTTTCATTCAACTTTAGTTATTTAATTCTTAAGCTTCTATTTTATGTTTTGAAACTAAATACGGATTCATGGCCCACACATGACACTACATCCGCATATTTAAATGACATAAATTTTTCCTTAGGATATAGGAAGTTAGTAATGATGCTTGGATGGGCCTTGCCTTGGCTAAATACACATAAAACCTCAAGCCTTCTTATTAGCTACCATTGATGATAGGTAATCGATGAGTTTAATAATTACTAATGTCATCGTAGATAGTCTTAGTGATTCTACTAAAGATTCACTAGGTGAAAATATATTTGTTTGAGACTTAATAGAGTCTACCTCCTCATGTAATGATTAGAAATAGATCCTATTATCATCTTTCCTTAATTAAATACACTAAAAAAGTTGGACATGTTTGAAACCTTGACTAAGATAACTTGGTCATGATGTTTTTGGATGGATGATAAAAGAGTTGAAATTCAGTTTAAGCAAGCATCAACTAAAGCATCGAAAGATTAGTGATGTGAATAATTAGATCTTTAAACCTAATACAAGCAATCTTGTGGGTAAAGAAATAAAAAATAAAGAACCTTTTTTTCACCCATCACGGATGACTACTCAATATCTAGTCACGAGTGTCTTTATTTAAGTTAGAATATTATTTATTTTATTGTGTTTTGTTATCTTTATATTTAAGTAGAGAAGTATAAGTTATAATGTCAAAATTGCATCCCCTGCCCCCTCAAATATAGACAACTCAAGCCAAAGTAAAAAGGACAATAAAGAAAGAGCTTAACTCAAGAAAAGACACTAAG